CAACAGCAACAGAAAACGCAGCAGCAACAACAGCATCAACACAAACACCAACCTAACAACACAGCTCATAATACACCACAACTGACACAACCACTAAACAAGCATCATCAAGACACAGAGCAGATTACGTATCACACACTACGGTCAACAATAATATAATAACAGTACTGTCATGTCGTATACCATCAGGACAACTACTACAAACAATACAGACATCACCACCACAACCATCAGGACTGGTGTCACTGCACTAACCACGCCCACCCCCATTATCAATACTACTCCAATCCCACCACCAATACCATGGGTAATTCGAGTAACACCAGTGGTCAACGCCAATGACCACATCTCATACATCTCGGTGTATTACCTCCACTAATACCTTCATCACCACGTAGGCTTGTTCAAATCTGGTCCACGAGCACACGCTATCACCAGAAGATGCTTGCGTGCACGTCCAGGCTGTCGCACCGACACACAGCCACACACACTATGCGACATACAATAGGACGTGCACACCGTCACTCGCAAGGACACACGAAGGCAGTGAGAGACAGTGTGATCCAGTGAACAAGAGTGCTGAGACGGGAGGCAGGCAAAAATGGGACAGACAGAGAGACAGAAAAACAGGTAGGTGGGCAGGCAGCAGACAGTCGCACAGATATAGTGGTAGACATAGAGTAGTGTGAGTGGAGACTTGCGTGTGGGCTAGCTCTTCGACAGGCTGGTTGGTTGTCCGACCTACTCGATGTGTGGGTATGATTTGGATTGTGCTTGACTTGAGTGTAGGTGCGTTTGTTGTGCCAGTCATGGTTAGCTTTGTGCTGGTGAATTTGAGTGAGTATGTGGAGAGGAGAGTGATGGATGACCGGTGACCAGTGTGTGTGCCGGGCAAATGATGTCAGTGAGACGAGTGTGAGGTGGAGTCAGGCCTGATGGTGTAGGACACAACACACCACCTGTGACCACCAGTCGGCACTTGAAGTCAACAATTACACTGGGGATAGGGGAATCAGACGGCTAAGGCTAGTCCACATGGCCTCACCTGTCGTGCAAGAAGCACGAAACGCCTATCATCACGCTGTCAATGAACACCTTAGAGAAGGCATCATCAACCTAGACTATCCCAACCGATAACACACTCTCATCACACACCACACTCAGACGCAACACCATGTCGCAAATCAATCATTTGCAAACTAACCACAAATCCACAAACAACACACACCTTCCTCACACCACTAACGTGGACACACTCACACCGGTACACAAACTTCAACCACACACACATACCACAACCCACAGACAACAAACCACCCATCAACGCCATCCTCACACACTACTCAAATGCCGACATTTCAGTAGGCCAAACACTCCACAATTAAAAATACAGCACACCACACTGCATGCTGAATAAAACGGATGACATACACCTGAGAACTGCACACCTGACAACACACAGGACATCACTCACGTGCCTATCACACCGCATCACATCATTAACAAACCTACACACTGCACACACCACTCACACACACACACACACACACACATCCTCGCCAGCATACCCACTCAGTGACTACAACACAACCGGAAGACAACCAAAACTGTAACAACACCAACAACGAGATCAACTACAACTGCAAACACAACGACAAATATCACATCGACCATCAAGATCAGGGACACGCAAAATTCAGACCAACACAAAAACAAACACAAACAGAACGTCAACGACAACGACAACCAGTGATACATTCACCTGCACGTCAAAGCCCAAGTCAGCGTCCACGTCCACACCTACGTCTGTGTCTGCGTCTGCGTCTGCGTCTGCGTCTTCGTCTGCGTCTGCGTCGAGCAACTACACCAAAACCATGTGCTCCTACATCAGCCACGCAGCGACACAAATAGAAACAGCACTAACACTAGCAACAGCAACAGCAACAGAAAACGCAGCAGCAACAACAGCATCAACACAAACACCAACCTAACAACACAGCTCATAATACACCACAACTGACACAACCACTAAACAAGCATCATCAAGACACAGAGCAGATTACGTATCACACACTACGGTCAACAATAATATAATAACAGTACTGTCATGTCGTATACCATCAGGACAACTACTACAAACAATACAGACATCACCACCACAACCATCAGGACTGGTGTCACTGCACTAACCACGCCCACCCCCATTATCAATACTACTCCAATCCCACCACCAATACCATGGGTAATTCGAGTAACACCAGTGGTCAACGCCAATGACCACATCTCATACATCTCGGTGTATTACCTCCACTAATACCTTCATCACCACGTAGGCTTGTTCAAATCTGGTCCACGAGCACACGCTATCACCAGAAGATGCTTGCGTGCACGTCCAGGCTGTCGCACCGACACACAGCCACACACACTATGCGACATACAATAGGACGTGCACACCGTCACTCGCAAGGACACACGAAGGCAGTGAGAGACAGTGTGATCCAGTGAACAAGAGTGCTGAGACGGGAGGCAGGCAAAAATGGGACAGACAGAGAGACAGAAAAACAGGTAGGTGGGCAGGCAGCAGACAGTCGCACAGATATAGTGGTAGACATAGAGTAGTGTGAGTGGAGACTTGCGTGTGGGCTAGCTCTTCGACAGGCTGGTTGGTTGTCCGACCTACTCGATGTGTGGGTATGATTTGGATTGTGCTTGACTTGAGTGTAGGTGCGTTTGTTGTGCCAGTCATGGTTAGCTTTGTGCTGGTGAATTTGAGTGAGTATGTGGAGAGGAGAGTGATGGATGACCGGTGACCAGTGTGTGTGCCGGGCAAATGATGTCAGTGAGACGAGTGTGAGGTGGAGTCAGGCCTGATGGTGTAGGACACAACACACCACCTGTGACCACCAGTCGGCACTTGAAGTCAACAATTACACTGGGGATAGGGGAATCAGACGGCTAAGGCTAGTCCACATGGCCTCACCTGTCGTGCAAGAAGCACGAAACGCCTATCATCACGCTGTCAATGAACACCTTAGAGAAGGCATCATCAACCTAGACTATCCCAACCGATAACACACTCTCATCACACACCACACTCAGACGCAACACCATGTCGCAAATCAATCATTTGCAAACTAACCACAAATCCACAAACAACACACACCTTCCTCACACCACTAACGTGGACACACTCACACCGGTACACAAACTTCAACCACACACACATACCACAACCCACAGACAACAAACCACCCATCAACGCCATCCTCACACACTACTCAAATGCCGACATTTCAGTAGGCCAAACACTCCACAATTAAAAATACAGCACACCACACTGCATGCTGAATAAAACGGATGACATACACCCGAGAACTGCACACCTGACAACACACAGGACATCACTCACGTGCCTATCACACCGCATCACATCATTAACAAACCTACACACTGCACACACCACTCACACACACACACACACACATCCTCGCCAGCATACCCACTCAGTGACTACAACACAACCGGAAGACAACCAAAACTGTAACAACACCAACAACGAGATCAACTACAACTGCAAACACAACGACAAATATCACATCGACCATCAAGATCAGGGACACGCAAAATTCAGACCAACACAAAAACAAACACAAACAGAACGTCAACGACAACGACAACCAGTGATACATTCACCTGCACGTCAAAGCCCAAGTCAGCGTCCACGTCCGCACCTACGTCTGTGTCTGCGTCTGCGTCTTCGTCTGCGTCTGCGTCGAGCAACTACACCAAAACCATGTGCTCCTACATCAGCCACGCAGCGACACAAATAGAAACAGCACTAACACTAGCAACAGCAACAGCAACAGAAAACGCAGCAGCAACAACAGCATCAACACAAACACCAACCTAACAACACAGCTCATAATACACCACAACTGACACAATCACTAAGCAATCATGCTTTACTGACATGCCTTTACTTGTGCCAGCTTGATTGTGCTCTGTTCTCTTTTTTTTCGTTTTGTTGTTTTTCCATGTCCGCGCTCTCTGTATTTTTCCTAATTCCCTGCCATCGGCCTAATTTCAAGCACTCTTTTCATTTGTATTTTAACCGCTTCTTTTTGACTTTTGTTTTGCATGGTTTAAAGTTATTTCCTTTTGAGCTTCCTACTTGACGATATCCGCCGTTATATTTTTGAAATTTTCATGAGGCGATTAAATAGACTCTTTTCTTTTGCATATGTTTTATTGTCATTTGCAGCTTCTTTATGACGGTTACTCTTATGGTTCCACCGTTTAAACAAATACAAGTCGCAGTATTGCATAGCAATTTGAGCGTGAAATTGAATGAAATCATCTGTGTGAGTGTGAATACCTATTATTCACTAGCAGACTTCTTACAAAGTCTCGTGGCTAAGATCAGAAGCTCGATGTTCCGCTTGCCGTCACCCTTCTATAATTTAGCTTTGCTAAACTTTCGTACAGTTTAGTCCAACTTCACTGAGCACTATAGTCGAATGAAGGCACTGTCTTGTTCTACTGAGTGTATAGCCGAGTCAACTTAATCATCGCTGCTTCACAACTTGATCGGCGAGCCTACTTTTCTGGCCTAACACTCTCCACTTAAACTCATCATTGCTTGCTATGTTGTTCCCGCGGACATAAATGTTAAGTGAACACTTATATTCAAAAACCGTAAAATTTTTATGATAATCCGAAAGCGAAAGAAAGAACAAACAAATAGAACTGCAAATTATTTTTTCTCTCAACATGTTTATAGGCATTCTTATCAAAGTCGACTGCACAATGAATGCAATCAATAACGTTAGATTAATGCAGGAAATTAGTTACATTAAGAACACCAATAGTAGTTATCAACTAAAGAAACGTATGCCAATCGGTTGAAGCACACGGGAAGGATTTCTTGAGAAATTTCGATAGGAATGACACCATTAGCGTTTAGGATTTGCTTAATCTAATGCCAATTTTTTGTTGTTCAGTTAATCTATAGCTGATCTGTCTAACTTTGTCTCTTTAAAATATTTAGAATCTATAAGTTCATCATCTTCAACGTAATGAACTGGACTGTTGACTGATGGTTGGTGTATTTCACATCTCTTATTAGATGTATGCAATTTATATCTTAAAGCTTGACTACGTGATTTCATGACATCAAAGAATTTTTCATCGAAATCTACTTGACATTTCTGTTCTGGAATCAGTTTGGCTTTATGAGGATCAAGGAATACTTTCTTCATTTCATGTCTTAGTACCTTTTGACTGTCAATTAATCCATATTGTTGTCCTCGATTCCTGTCTATTATAAAGTTGTTTGAAACTTTATTTCTTGGCATATATTGCCTTGAATCATGTATACTAGGCTTATTTAAAACTGACAGATTCAACATTGATCCTGTGGAATGGATTAAACCTGGTATTGACATTGTTGAAGCATTTGAAGACATAAATTTATACTTCAATGAGTCTGGAACATTTTTCAGTATACTTTCTGTTTTATTTGGAGACATTGAAGCATAATGTAGTTTAAGAGTAACCTTTTCATAAATTTTCAATATTCTTTGATCATATGTCTCAGGTTCACGTTGAAGGAATCTACGTAGATACTTTTCATCTAAACGCTTGAAAAGATCACATATTGCATTGTAACCACGATAGCCTATGATACTTTCAACACCAGCTAGAGTACCATGTAGGATACTATCATTCAATGAATCAAATTGACTTAATTTTTTATCACCTTCTATACGTATTTTCAAAATTCTCACCAATGGTTTCATTGTCAATCCCATAAAACCACATGTGAATAAGATAATGAATATGGTTGTTGTGACAATCAGTTGTCGGTTATATTCACCATGATAACCTAGTTTACTTGGAGAAATTAGGACTGCCAGTGAAAACGCTACAGCTCCTCTCAATCCACCATAGATTAAAACTATCTGTTGTGATAAACTTATGTTTGTTCCACTTATTCTGAAAAAATTTACAAAAAATGTTATACCAAATATGATAACAGTACGAGCGATCAGACATCCAGTTAACGCCCAGAGAATATAACCAGTATGCCAGACAAGTTTAGTAGAGACCACCTCAATCCCAAAAAATAAAAAGATCACAGATTCGCATATATCAGAGACAATTCTAGTTAAATTACGTACTAATGTTACTGAATTCCGATCTAAGTTATGAAATGCATAGGCAGCTTGAAACAATCCACAGCCAATCATTGAAATAATCCCTGACCATCCAACACAATCAGCCATTATGTAGGAAAAATAAGCAAGCAACAGTAGAGTGAAAGCATTCAAACGATTTCTAACTCGAGTTATTAAACATGTGACAATTCCAAACAGGACACCAATGAAAAGTCCACCTAAACTTACTACGAAAAAAGATGCAATGCCGATTCCAATTTCTTTTCCAGATACATATTCCTTCCCAGTGAATGCATCCATGATGTCATACAGTACAACAGTTACAGCATCATTCAACAAAGACTCTCCAAATACAATATAGTATAAGCCTAATTCCACACCAATATCTTGAAAGATGGCCAACACAGCAACTGGATCAACAGTAACAATCAATGAACTGAATAACAAAAATCCTTTGACATCAAAATCCAATTTTGGTGGTCCAAATGCTCCTACTTCATTTAGTGCATACATAACAAATCCAATAATTAAAAAGTTGAATATTGTACCCAATACAGCAAATATTAAAACAACTCCAAGATAATCAGAAAATGTTGAATTATACATTGTATAAGCTGATTGTAATATAATTGGTGGTAGTAAATATATGAAAAATAATAAAGGGGTTAATTTCCAAACACTTTTTTCATTTATATCTTTTTCAATACCATAATAAATTATTAAACCGAATAAAATACCAATAATAATTAATAGTAAAGATTCTGGAAAATATTCTGATATATAATACACACGATGATGTAATAATTTGATTAAAATCATTATTAATAAAAATGACATAACTGTAATATGTACACCGAATTCTTCAAACTTCCATTTTACAATACCTATTACACTACTATTCACTTTCTTTTCTCGTCTTTCATAACAATCCACATGAATTATATTGAAGCATAGTAGTGTAATATTAATTAATAATATTGCTATTGTAATTGTGTAACAGTCCCTCATTAGTTATAACTTCTTTATGCATATCTTTCTATACATTTTCTGATCGTACATTATGTAATATGGATACTTAGAGTTGCTTAATACTGATTTACTATAGTGAATAGTCATTTGAAAGTTGGGTAATTAAAATGTTTCATACATTAAGTTGTCCATTCTCATATTTTCTTGATTATCTCATGTGTTATTCGTCACTTCTAAGGTTTATAACGTGAAAGATAACAAGAGACTATAGGTATACTTTTTAATTTCTGTTTATTGATTTAAGTTAGGTGATTTATCAATTTTTTTTCTATATGTCCTAGGTTAAGCGGTTGAGTGAGCCACAGATTGCATGTATGATTCTCTACAAGGTCAAAAAGTCAGTTAGGTGAACAATCAAAATTTAGATGCTTAAATGTAATATTTTCATCAGTGAAATCTATGATGCACTGAGATTATGTTTGAACGAAACCAATTTTTTTTACCTTTCGTAGAAATCTTTATCATCAAACTAATGGGGTAGAAATGGATTCACCTATCTCACCTTTTGCAGAAAATCTATACATATACAAAGGAGAATCAGACCTATCTAACCCACATGATTTAAAACCAAGAATATATAGTGAAGTTATGTTGATGACACCTTCATCATAACCAAAAGACAACGTTTAGAAAATCTTTTCGAATATCTTAACAGCTGTTTCAATTCCATAAAGTTGACTTAAGAACTAGAAACAGAATTCAGAACGCTAGCTTTCCTGGACTTCAGGGCTATGCGAAACAATGACGAGACACTTGATATTGATGTCTATCAAAAATATACACATTCTAACAAGTACCTTGACTTCGGTTCAGCTCACTTATTGGAAGCTAAGTTAAACGTTGCCAAAAATTTTTTGACGAGATCACAAATTATGACAAATAAAGTAAAAAATCAGCAACCAGATAGAAAACTTGTTCGAGAAGTCTTAAAGCAAAACAGCTATCCGGAAACACTGCCATAAAGGTCGGAAAAAGTCTACCAAAAAAAGACACGCAATAACTAAGCAATAAAGATTAGATAAGCACTATAGTACTTCTTTATCGAACATTCATATCAGAGGAAATAAGATGTATCCTTAATAATTAAAACATCAGATTACTCTTTAAAGTGACAAACACATTACACTTACACCTGTACAAATTAAAAGATCTGATTGCCCACTTGGAACAACAGAACAGTGTCTATAATGTAGACTATAGTGAATGCGATGCCACATACATTGGAGAGGTATCACGTTGAGTACTAACATGTTTAAGTGAACATGGTCTAAGTTGCAAGAAACCATCGAAAAATTCTTATGATCTGGAAAAACTTGGAAAAACTCTGCCATCGCTGCTCATGCCTTATATTCTCGTCATAAAATACCAATCGAAAAGGCGAAACTCTTGCAAAAGGACTTTCTTCCTCACAAACAGCGGGCTTTGCACAAGCTTTGCATGTCTGTTCATACCCCTCTTCGGTCAAGAGAAAATATGCGTTAGACATCCCACAAATGTGGCAAACATTAATGATTTGCACAGATAGTTGCAAATAAGATATGAACAGAAAGTAGAACACAACTTCATGCCACTGTATTCCACATCACTTCTTCCGAATTTATTCCTGTTCGAATAGTTTCCGGTGTTATTTCTCTCAATTAACTTGATCACGTCTAAACAAAATATTGGTTGTATTTTAACAAGGTGTCCAGTCCTATTGGATAATACTGTATTGATCTGTTATGTTGATCAATATCACGCTTCTTCCTAAGTTGTATACATTCTGCGAACCATTCTATATATAACATAATCCACTCATACTTTAACTGTTATACAAAGTACCTTTACCGTTATCAATATTTATACTGGGTGATAACTGAAGGTGAAGTGGAAATTCGGATCGCGGCCGAATTCGAACCACCGACCACGGGGTTTCCAGACTGATGCTCTACGAGGCCCGGTGCTCACGAATTCACATGGTAGTCGGGCAAAACCCTCGGTGATTAAAGTGAAATAAAAATGTGGTCGGCAGTCGGACCGCGTTGCCCAGTTTGTAGAGCATCGGGCTGGAAACCAGGTGGTCGCTGGTTCGAATCTTCATTTCACCTTAAATCGTCACCCAGTATAACTACTAGTTTCCCAAACTACGGCTATCTCAGATAGTCAAATGGTTCTCATCCTTGACGATTTACAACCCCATTGTACTTTTCATAGTCAAACTAAATTTCCCCACCATATTTTTGTTCCACTTTACCTACACAACTGGAAGAAGCCTCTCTGACCAATTTTCTAATTATTGTTCCATATCACGATGTAATTGGATGATCGTTATGGTCACCCTCTGTACCAAACTTGAATATTAACCTGAAAACTTAATGTCAGATTCATTCTTTTGAAAAAGATCTTTCTAGTAAGATTGAAACGTCGTCTACAATACAAAATATTTGTTTATTTTGTTGTTTGCTCTAATATATTACACCAAGATTTTATTATTGTTATTATTATTATTATTAGTCCCTTGGGTTCCCAGTGGAACATGCGGCTTCGGTAGCACGTCTCCAGTGCACTCTGTTCTCTGCAATCTTTTGAAGCTGGCTCCTCGACAGCCCAGAAGCTCTCATTTCTTCCTCACGTGATCTCCTCCATGTCACCCTCACCTCGAACGCCCAACTCGTCGTTTCCCATCTGGGTTCCACTCAAGGACCTGGCCTGGCCCATGACATCCCCGAATGGTCTTCTCAGTGCATGCCCAATCCGTCTCCCTCTTCATATTTCTTTTGCGATGGGTTCTTGATTGGTTCGTTGCCCGGCCAGAGTTCCTTGTTGCTTTTTCTTACTATTCTGTCCATCTCAGCCCCAGTAACGAGCGTAGGCAGTTGTTGATAAATGTTTTTAGTTTGTTGGAAATGCTTTTCGTGACACGCCAAATCTCTCAACCACCATATAGAAGCACTGACTTGACTGGCATTGGTGTTGAAAACCCGCATCTTGTTCCACATGCTGAGTGTGGTCGACTTCCGCACTGATTTCAGATTAATGAACGCCTGTCTTGCTTTTCCGATCCTGGCTGGCTCTGACGTCCTCGTCTGTGCCACCGTCTCTAGGTGAAACGATGCTGCCTAGATAAGTGAAGGAGGCTACTTCCTTCAAGTGTCTCCCGTTGATGGTGATTGGAGTTTGTTGTTGTTGGTGGTGCTGGTGTTGGTTGGGTATCTTCATCACCTCTGCATTCTCTATATTCACTTGAAGGCTCGTCCTCGCTGACCTGCATCTTCTATCGACCTGTTGAATTTTGCCTGTAGATCTTCAAGTTTGTGCGACATCAGACACAAGTCATCGGCGAAATCCAAATCTTCTAGGTTCTTTTCCGCTGTCCAGCGTATCCCCCTCTTCTCACAGCTCCCCACTGTTTGTTGCATGATCCAGTCGACCACAACACAATCAGGAATATCATGGGTGATAGTAGGCAGCCTTTTTTTACTCCCCTCTTCACTTTAAAGGCATCACTGAGTTGTCCATTGTGGCTCACTTGGCATGTGGCGTCTACATATAGTTGTTGAATGAGGTTGATAAAGGTTTGTGGTATTCTATAGTGTTGAAGCAGTTGCCAATTTACTTGGCGGTCGACGCTGTCAAAGACCTTTTCAAAGTCGATGAAGTTGAGGTTGAGGTTGAGTTGACTGCCATTCTATGCTCTGTTCATGCCAAGATTAGACAAATAAAAATAAACCTTATTCAATGAATTATACTAACTCGGTGCCCAAGGTTTTTCAAACCATCGAGTCCATTGTTGGTCAGGATACGTTCAAATCAAAACCTTGTAATAAAACATTAATTCCTCCAATGATATTCATAGAAAGAAGTTATATAGTCCTAACTGATCTATTATGCTGATCATTGAAAATTGAAAACACGAGACAATTAATATGCAATAACAATCTTAGAGTTTATATTTGTTTATACTAATTACTTCAGAACAGTGTAAAAAATGAAAAAATCAAATAACTGGTTACTTCATGCTTTAAGTAACTTGCTTGTTAATGTTGAAATGAGGAAATACCATCTGTACACAGATAGTTAGTAATCCTTTCACACTATGAAACACCTAAAGGACAGTCATAAATTGACTGAGAGGATTCATTAATGATGGTGTCAACAATGAGTGGTGAGTGTAAGGAAATTTACTCAATCAAGCCATTCGTTTAAATAAACTCACTGTGTTAATGATATTTTTGGACAGAGTTTTCAAAATATCTTCGATTATCATCTCTTCTTTAAGAGATAATCCAAAGACATACTTTTGTTTAATTATAATAAAGGCAATTTTAATTCAAAAAGTCTAGTATAACAGTTTTTTTCATAAATGGTACACGTACATTTATTTACAGCTCGAAGAAGATGTTTAATGATCTCTGAGAGTTATGTTTTCCGTTACTTTGTTACATTTGCTTTAACGAAACAAGAATGTCAGTTATTTTGTTATGAATTATATACATTTGAAGCTACTTTCAGTGCAGTACGGAGACCATTACTGGGTTGTAATTTTACTAAGTCAACTATCTCAGAACACCGGTATACGGATCTATGACACTACTACTCTTACACAAATTACAGACCGGTTTCAAGTTAAACTCTAATTGTACAGAAATTCAAAGTACTCGTATTTATTCTACTCGTTATATGATCATACCAGATGAACTACTTTATTCATAATTAGAACAAAATTTTAACCAAAAGACTTACACACTTGATGAATTGTTATCTGATAAATGAGGAGAAGAACTGAAACGTTTCAAATCAACTTTCTGTGATCGTTGTTTAAAATTTTTAAAAGAACACAAGACTAAAGTGACTGAGTACAAGTTACTGATAGAATAATATGAAATACGAGAAAGCTACTAACGCACTGAGATAGTTAAACTGAGTAAGAATAACGACTGTTCTCCCTTGGATCTGTTACTTCACTGAACCGTGAAAATCGGGAGACAAAGACCGGCCTA